TGTTGAAATAATGCAACAAGATGAGGATCTTGAACCAAAATCTGTCAATGAATGTAGATAGAGAAATGATTGGCCAAAATGGAAAGACGCTATCTAGGCAGAGTTAACTTCACTTGGAAAACGTGAAGTCTTCGGACCCATAGTTCGAACACCCGAAGGCATAAAGCCAGTAGGGTATAAATGAGTTTTTGTGTGAAAACAAAATGATAAAAATGAAGTCGTTAGATATAAAGCGCGACTTGTGGCACAAGGGTTTTTCCAAAGGCCTAGAATTGATTATATGGAGACATATTCTCATGTAGTGAATGCTATCACCTTCAGGTATCTCATAAATATGGCAGTGCAAGAAAAACTTGTTATGCATCTAATGGATGTTGTTACAACCTATTTATATGGATCATTAGACAACGAAATTTGTATGAAAGTACCTGAGGGATTTAAAGTGCCAGAAGCATATAAAAGTTTTCGAGAAGCTTGTTCAATAAAGCTTCAGAAATCTTTATACGGATTGAAACAATCAGGTCGTATGTGGTACAATCGCTTGAGTGAATACCTGTTGAAAAAAGGGTACAATAATGATCCAATTTGTCCTTGTGTCTTTATAAAAAGGTCTTGATTTGAATTTGTTATAATCACCGTGTATGTTGATGATTTAAATATCATTGGAACTCTGGAGAGCTTCCAAAAATAGTAGACTGTTTGAAGAAAGAATTTGAAATGAAAGATCTTGGAAAGACAAAATTTTGTCTTGGTCTACAAATTGATTATATGAAAGATGAAATATTTGTCCATCAATCAACATACACTGAAAAGATTTTAAAGCGATTCTATATGGATAAAGCACATCCATTGAGTACCCCGATGGTTGTGAGATTACTTGATATAAAGAAATATCCATTCCAACCTCATGAAAATGATGAAGAGCTTCTTGGTGCCGAAGTACCATATTTTAGTGCAATTGGGGCATTAATGTATCTTGCCAATAATTCCCGACCAAATATAGCTTTCTCAGTAAGCTTATTGGAAAGATTTAGTACTTCGCCAACACAAAGACACTAGAATGGTATTAAACATATATTCAGATACCTCCAAGGGACCATTGATATGGGTTTATTTTATTCAAATGAATCCAAGCCATCATTGATTGGTTATGCAGATGCAGGATATTTGTCTGATCCACACAAAGGTCGATCTCAGACAGGCTATTTATTTACAAGTGGAGGTACAACCATATCATGGCGTTCGACAAAACAAACTATGGTTGCTACTTCTTCAAATCATGCAGAGATAATAGCCATTCACGAAGCAAGTCGAGAATGCGTTTGGTTAAGATCTATAACTCAACACATTCAGCAAACATGTGGTCTTTCTTCGAAAGAGAATATTCCAACAATATTGTATGAAGACAATGCTGCATGCATAGCTCAATTGAAAGGAGGATATATCAAAGGAGATAGAACAAAACACATTTCACCGAAATTCTTTTTCACTCATGATCTTCAGAAGAATGGTGAAATAGATGTACAACAAGTTCGTTCAAGTGATAATTTGGCTGATTTGTTCACTAAGGCGTTACCAACCTCAATATTTGAAAAGCTGATATATAATATTGGAATGCGACGTCTTCGAGATATTAAGTGATTTTTCATCAGGGGGAGTAACTACACGCTGCACTCTTTTCCTTAACCAAGGTTTTGTTCCATTGGGTTTTCCTGGTAAGGTTTTTAATGAGGCAGCAAGCAATGCATATTATAAATAACTATGTACATCCCAATATTTTTTTTGTAAGTTTTTAATGAGGCACATTATCTTACATAGACATCCAAGGGGGAGTGTTATGAATAGTTTGTACATTAGATATTACTTTAGATACTACATTGGATACTACATTGGATGCCCATGTTGTGAATAACTTAAAGATTAAATTTTCTACTTTATGTCCATCATCTTTACTTTTTATGCCTACAAAAGGTCATGTAATTGCAATGGAAAAATACACCAAAGTGAAAGAAGAAAACACTTCTCCCTTCTTTCTATCTCTTCTTATTTAAATTTTACTGCATTACTTTTATTTTATAACAATATCTACATAGTCCGTCTATTTTAATTTGTTAGGTTTAGTTTGACTTGACATAAAGTTTAACACATAAATGAACACTTTTGAAACTTGTGATCTTAAGTACGCCATAACATTTGTGTGGCTATAAAACTTTTGAAACTTGTGGTCTTAAATAAGTCATATTATTTGTCTGATTATACAAAATTTTCATTAAAGAAATATAGGAATGCGCTAATCGTATTAAAAGGGACTAATAAGAAAATAGTACCAATATTTTTTAAACGAAGGCAGCAACAGTTATCCCTTAAACAAACCATCTATCAGGGAAATTCTCTTTATAAAATCTTTTGATAGTCTAAATATAAAATATTAAAAAGAAAGGGGATATTAATAATAGTCAGACAAATATTAATTTGGTGCAACACAAAAATTATGGACTGAGAAAACTTTTCCCCACTCATATGCTAACTTGAAAACTTTCTAAATCTACCACAAATAATGTGTCCTTAACCAATGGCTCCAATATCTAAAAATAAATAATAAAATTGGTTATTTCATAGTGATTTTATGCTCGTGATTGAGTTCTTGAGATTTATAAACTTGGAAAGGATAACTATCAAAAGATATGATTGAATGATTAAATTAACTAAGTAAATGCATAAGAATCGGTAGTTTTCACCATATAAATGGAATAAAATGAAAAAAAGAGCAAGAGATCAATTGAAATACAAAGGACAGGAAAAAAATCAAATGCGATAATAATTTTGTTGGTTATGAAACCAAACACCACAAAATATAGTTTTGAAACATAAGTAATCTTTATTTGAAACTTGGAACCAAAATTAACTTAATAGCACTATAATAGAATAGGAAAAAAGAGCAAGGAAAATTAATTGAAATACAGACGATGACAAAAGGAAAAAAAGAACAAATATGATGCCAATTTAGTCGGTTTTGAAACCAAACACCATAAATACAATTTCAGAATTGATCTTTATTTGAAACACGAAACCAAAAGAAAATGATATATTACACACATAAAACCTAAGAAAACTTAATGACACCATAAAATCAACATTAGTTAGTAGATAGTCAGGAATAAGATATAAGATAAGATTTTGTATTTCCATAAGCATATTACTTTTTTGCTTGTGCTATTTGTGGTGTCATATATGTCTTCCTACATTCCAAATGATATAATTCTTTGACAATTCAGAAAAAGTGATTCATAAAAGTGAGAACATAATTACTTGGCCACCTTCTTACACATATGATCCTGTTCTATACGAAGCTTTGACTTAATTACCCGTCATGAAGTATTCCGTGAGAAAAGGTCAGATGATACATCTCCCAGTTCTTAAGAGGTATAATTAAAATTACAATAATAAACGGACTTTGAGTTTCTTAAAAACGTGACATTGAGGTTTTCTTAATGCAGATTAAGACGTGGTTTTTTTTCACAATTCATTGGCTCACAAGAACTTCTATATATGAACGTGACTTTTCATTACAAGTCACCAATAATTAATTTTTGAACTAAACGGTTAGTTGCAAAATTGGAGGGTCACAACTTTTCTAGAAAGACAAATCAAATTTAAATATTAATATCATTTAAAAATTATTATTAAACAATAGTACTTATTTAGAATTAAAATGTTTATGTTATTTAGAAGGGCATTTTGGTAATTCAACTTTTAACTTTTGGGATTTCCACTTTTATAATAATATAAATAAATATAAATATAAATAGATAACACCATCTTCTCCATTCCTTTACCTTTCTTCACCCAGTTTATCTCTTTCTTCATCTTAATCCATTTTAAATTCTCTCTCTGTTTATTAAGTTTATTTTTTATCTTTTTTTTTATTTTATTCATCCTTCATTATTACCCAAATTAATTTTAAAAGAAGAACACCCATTGTAAAAGAGTAATGAGGTTTAATGTATTTTGTGGTTATGGGCAGCCTGCTTCCTTGAGAACATCAACGACAAATGTTAACCCAGGAAGACGTTTTTTTGGATGCAAGTACTACGGGGTAATCATCTTTCAAATCCTCATATTTTATGTGATATAATATGGCTAAATTTTGCTTTTATTTTTAATGGTTTGGTTAAAATTTTCAGGCTAAGGATCGTGTGGCTTATGGATTTTTCCAGTGGTATGATCCATAATTTCCTGGCCAATCGAAGGTGATAATTCTTGGCTTACAGAAGGATAAAATGGAACTTGAGGCTGAATTGAAGAATTTTTTTTTTTGGAAGATGTTGCTTATTATTAGTATATGTTTCAATGTGTATTTTTGGTTGTTCAAATGCTAGGAAGTGTTGTGTAATCTGAAACTTGGTTGTTGGTTTTGTTTCAAATGCTAGGAAGTGTAATCTAAGACTTGGTTGTTGCTTTTATTTCAAATGCTAGGAAGTGTACTGTCATTGCTATATATTTGATAGTTTCGCATAATTAAAAATACAAGGAAAGCTAGAAATAACACATTGTATTAGAGCTCAAAAGGCCTACAATTGATTAGTTTTACATTACATCCCATAAGGTGCATTGAAGTAAAACAAGCTTTAATAGTTTACATCATATTACATCATAACTTGCACCACAAAAATATTATCCAAAACACAATCATAGTATCGGCATACAACAGTTCCCAATAGAGTAGTGTTGAAGCTCAAACACCTCCAGTTTTTTCATTAGCTTTTGGTGATTTTGTCCTTAAATACTGTAGTAAAGCACTTCTATGTTGAAGTTGTCTAGTTGTGATTGCTTGTTTTCCTTTCCATTTCAGGCCTTTTACTTGGTTTATAATCAAGATCACTGGTCACTATAGCTGAACTTTCAACTGCTCCATTGTTCCTTCAACTGTCGATTACCCTATTAACAGGCCTACCTTGCTGCAAATTAAGTTTTAAAAAAACAGATATCAAACAATAGAGTTTAACCTGCAACCTCAAAACTAGCAACCAAACTGCTAATTGCCTCAATACATGTATAGCCACTTTTGCTGACAAATATTCCATGTCCCACTGCTCTTGGCCTCTTAAATGCAGTAAGAGCATCTCTGTTGCTTGCTTGAGATTGTTGCACATCTGAAACCTGAGAATGCTGGACATCTGAAACTTGAGATTATTGCACATCTAAGTTTTGTGAGTTCTGCACCATGCTGCTATTGCTTCTTCCTTTACCACCCTTAGCTTTAGCATTCTTCTTACTAGTAAATGCTTGGGAGTCAGCCTTTGATCTCTTTTTAGAGGTTGATTTTTGTGAGTGAGCCACTCCCTTCCTTCTTCAGCGCATTGACGTTTCCTTTTTTGTTTCCAGCACGTTGAATCCACGGGTTTTTTTAAAATTTGACATCTCGTTAATTTGGTATGCATAAGTTTCACATATGCCAAATCAAAACTTAGGAGTAAAATATATGCACTACAAACCAATAAATATCAGCACTCATTATGGTGATAATAAACAGAACATGCTAAAACATATAAAAACTCTGGAGTAAAATATATGCACTATAAAGCAATCAATATCAGCACTCATTATGGTAATAATAAACAAAACATACTAAAACAAAATATAGGTGTATGTCTTCACTAAGCTAAGTCCTCAACAAGAAGAATCTTCATTGTACTATCACTTCAACACTTACTTTACTTTTGTGGAGGTACATAAGGCAAGGTGCAAAACGCTGATATGAATTATCGATAAAACGTGTTAAAACAAAGTAATTTAGCAGGCATCAAAAGTTAAAACATGGATATCTTAAATAGAAGCAGAGCTAAGCAAATTTATTTTTGCCCTCATCGCTTGAAGCCGGGATGTTTGAGTAAGAGTGAAGAAACCATATTTACGACTCGAACTCGTAATACTTAATTAAGACTTGAGAGTAAAAAATTCATAATCCTCCCATCACGATCCTCCGTGTTAATTAATTGTAGTATTGTATAGCATAATTGGATAGCTCATTTCTATCTACTGGACCAACCGACTATGATTCAAATAAAATCCTATGTAACTTACATGTAACATATTACTCTTTTCAAATCTTTTTTTCAGTAATATAAACTAAACTTTTCTTTCTTTTGTCTCCTTCAATCATCAAAGCTAAAATAATTTTTCATTACTGAAAAAAATCAAATCTTTGAAAAATGGGTTCATTGATGGATGAGAGTAAAAAATAGAAAGGATGGGAGATGAGTCAAAGGAAGCAATTTTATATGTTAATGGACATCATCGAGTTTTGCCTGATGGATTAGCTCATTTAACTCTTCTTAAATATCTTAATCAATCAAACTGGGAAAATTGAACTAATGAATCACACAATACTAAAGAAATAATCTTTTGCTGCTATTTTTGCAACTGGAATTAATCCAAGAAGCACGAAGAAGTTGAAAAACTTACAATTAAATGGATAAGGATATATAAGTAGTTGAATATTTTCCGAGAAGAAAACATCCAAAAGATTCTGTAACTGTCTGAGTATTAGAACTCTGTTCTTCAGAGAAATCAGTGACTGAAAGTAAATAATCATTGCAAACCTCGATTGCGCAACTTGAGATTAACAACTCCAAGTTGATTTTTTTTTTTTGGTGAGAAGTGTGGAAATCAGTAGGAAGAAGCTATGTAAATCCAAACGAAAACAAGAGAAAACTACGGAAGAAGAAACGCAAAGGAAAGGATAAACACAAACTTGAAGCGGCAACCTTTTCGGCTTATGTGCAAATTACCATAAAATCCTTTTCGGAGGCGCAAAAATCCAATATTAGAAGGGCATAATTGAAATTTTAAATCGAAAAAAATACCAAAATATTGTCTGTCGGCAAGCAGGGATGTCGACGAAGTGCTGTCAATTTCACCTACTTACTCGCACTTCTAATATAGTAGAAAGATAATAAACAGAAAATGCTAAAACAAATAAAAATTTTGAAGTAAAATATATGCACTACAAAGTAATTAATATCATTACTCATTATGGTAATAATAAACAAAACATACTAAAACAAAATATAAGTGTATGTCTTCACTAAGCTAAGTCCTTAACAGGAAGAATCTTCATTGTGCTATCACTTCAACACTTACTTTTCTTTTGTGGAGGTACATAAGGCAAGGTGCAAAACGCTGATATGAATTATCGATAAAACGTGTTAAAACAAAGTAATTTAGCAGGCATCAAAAGTTAAAACATGGATATCTTAAATAGAAGCAGAGCTAAGCAAATTTAGTTTTGCCCTCATCGCTTGAAGCCGGAATGTTTGAGTAAGAGTGAAGAAACCATATTTACGACTCGAACTCGTAATACTTAATTAAGACTTGAGAGTAAAAAATTCATAATCCTCCCATCACGATCCTCCGTGTTAATTAATTGTAGTATTGTATAGCATAATTGGATAGCTCATTTCTATCTACTGGACCAACCGACTATGATTCAAATAAAATCCTATGTAACTTACATGTAACATATGACTCTTTTTTTAAATTTTTTTCTCCAGTAAATATAAACTATACTTTTCTTTCTTTTGTCTCCTTCAATCATCAAAGCTAGAAAAAATCAAATTTTTGAAAAATGGGTTCATTGATGGGTGAGAGTAAAATGGAAAGGATGGGAGATGAGTCAAAGGAAGCAATTTTATATGTTAATGGACGTCATCGAATTTTGACTGATGGACTAGCTCATTTAACTGTTCTTAAATATCTTAATCAATCAAACTGGGAAAATTGAATTGATGAAGCACACAATACTAAAGAAATAATCTTTTGCTTTGCAACTGGAATTAATACAAGAAGCACAAAGAAGTTGAAAAACTTACAATTAAATGGATAAGGATATATAAGTAGTTGAATATTTTTTGAGCCAAAAGATTCTGTAACTGTCTGAGTATTAGAACTATGTTCTTCAGAGAAATCAACGACTGAAAGTAAATAATCACTGCAAACCTCAATTGCGCAACTTGAGATTAACAAATCCAAGTTGAATTAATTTTTTTTTTTGGTGAGAAGTGTGGAAATCAGTAGGAAGAAGCTATGTAAATCCAAACGAAAATCAGAGAAAACTGCGGAAGAAGAAACGCAGAGGAAAGGATAAACGCAAACTTGAAGCGGCGACCTTTTCGGCTTACGTGCAAATTACCATAAAATCCTTTTCGGAGGCGCAAAAATTCAATATTAGAAGGGCATGGATGACATTTTAAACCGAAAAATTACCAAATACTGTCTGTCGGCAAGCAGGGATGTCGACGAAGTGCTGTCAGTTTCACTACTTACTCGCACTTCTAATATAGTAGAAAAAACAAAGTTAGAAGGTACTATTTATCTGAGGCAAACTGAGATTAGCCAAATCTAGCGATCAAATACCAGATGATTGAACAAAAAAGTTAAAAATTCTCAACTTTGAAGTGACTGCCAATTGATCCAATTGTGCTCGTTTAGATCGGAACACAAGTATGACTCCGCATAATATCCAAAATTGATCTGGCAAATGTTAGATTCAAAAGCAATAATTTGAACCTCCTAGCCATAAGAGACATAGGGCTAAAGAGTGCCAGCAAAGGATATCNAAGTAAAAAAATCGAGTTAAATAAATGATGTCAATGGGTTTCAGATTACAGAAAGCACCTTCTTTTTGCAGATTTAGTTCTTCAATTATCAATTTGGTTTTCTGCTGAACAACTGGTTGTGGTACATCAGTAGCAGCACATCCTGAACTAGCTGGAAGGACCTTAAGAGATTCACCTAGTTGACCGTCTGTAACACAAAAAGTATGAAATTGCATACCTGACTTAGAACTTGCCAATGAACCCAACCCTTCCGAGGTTCACGGTGTTGGCTTCGGAAGAGAAACAAAAGATATTTCCTTTAAGTTACAGGAAATAAAGAACATAACGATTGAGTAAATAACCTGATAATTGAGCAGAAATATTTGGATAAATGCAGGATAATTGAATGGTGAAGTGGGAAAATGTATCCCATACAAAAATTGCATGTTTTACTTGGCTTTTAGCAAGAGAAGCAGTCCAGACTCAAGATAATCTCATTAAGAGAGGATACCAGTTGGGGTCCAGATGTCATCTATGTGAAGCTCGTGAGGAGACAGTCAACCATCTCTTTTTACACTGCAGTGTCACTATCAATTATGGAAGATATTCATCAACCTGAGGGGGATCCGATGGGTTATGCCAGGGAAAATCAAGGAAGTTCTAACTAGCTGGAAAAGAGATGGTGAACATTCCAGTCAGAAGGAGAGATGGAAGATTGTCCCTGCTTGTATATGGTAGACAATATGGAAAGAAAGGAATCAAAGATGTTTTGAGGACAACCACAGTTCTATACAAAAGTTGAAGATGAGCTGTTTAATGCTCTTTTATTTTGGTGTAAACAGGAGTACTTAGAAGAGAGTGATTGTATTTTTGATGTTTTAGACCAGTTATGAGCCTTACAGTGATTTAGTGTTTTCTTCTGGTACTCTCCTTGTAATTATGGATGGTTACACTGATTTAGTGTAGCCACCTTTATAGTCAATACAAATATGTAACCTTTTCAAAAAAAAAAAAATGTATCCAGTCTAGGATCAGCCGAAAGAAGTTCAAATAAAATGACATGTAGATTAGAAAGAAATCACCTCAGAACCATCGGATTTATATATCTTGTGGACTCTTCTAAATACTCCTGGTTACACCAAAAATATGTTACCTTTTCAAAAAAAAGAAAAAAGGTATCCAGTCTAGGATCAGCCGAAAGAAGTTCAAATAAAATGACATGTAGATTAGAAAGAAATCACCTCAGAACCATCGGATTCATATATCTTGTGGAGCGCTTTTAAAATAAAAGCAAAAAAAGTTTTAGCAACTTTCTAATGCCCCTATTTATAGGAAAGAAAGGTGAATAGCAGAAGCCATGTGTATTTCTCCTGGTAAAAACAGCCAGCACTGAGGTTATTAATATATTCATAGTCAACTTAGTATTTTACCACTTTAGTATCTCCGGATCACAAAATCTAAATGACTATGATTTTCGAACACTTGCTGATTAAACAGTATGTGGTCGTTCTCAACCAAGGATTCAGGGATTTGAAGGAACAAGACATTTTGCTTATTCTAAAAAATAAGCTTTAATTAGTAATTAAAGAAATATGTTTCTATGAGTTGTCAATCTTCTACTGTCCATTTTTATTTCCCTTGGGGATAGACGAACTGACGCGTCACATGCAAAGAGAGGCGTCATGGTGCATGTTATTTACGGATGATATTGTACTGATTGACGAGACGCGACGCAGTGTTAACGTGAGATTGGTTGAAGACAGACCTGAAGTCTAAAGGTTTCAAGTTGAGGAAGAACAAGATAGAATACTTTGAGTACAAGTTCAGTGAGGTGATTCATGAAGCGGATGTGGACGCGAGGCTTGATACTCAAGTGATCCCTGGAAGAGGAAGTTTCAAGTATCTTGGGTAAGTAATCCAAGGAAATAGAGAGATTGACGAGTATGCCGCACATCATATTGGAGTGGGATGGATGAATGAAGACTCGCATCCGGTGCTTTGTGTGATAAGAATGTCCCACTAAGACTTAAAGATAAGTTCTACAAAGAGGTAGTTAGACCAACTATGTTGTATGGGGCAGAGTGTTGGCCAGTCGAAAACTCTCATGTACAAAACATAAAGGTGACAAAAATGAGGATGTTGGGATGGATGTGCAGGCATACTAGGATAGATAAAATTAGTAATGAAGATATTCGGGATAAGATGGGTGTGACCTCAGTGGAGGAAAAGATGCGAGAAGCGAAGCTTAGATGGTTCGTGCATGTGAAGAGGAGAGACACTGATGCCCTAGTAAGGATGTGTTAGATGTTGGACGTGGTGGGTCTAAAACGAGGTGAAGTATTGGGGAGAGGTGATTAGGCAGGACATACATGGTGCTGCTTCAGCTTGCCGAGGACATGACCCTTGCTAGGAGAGTGTGGATGTCGAGAATTAGGGTACAAGGTTAGCGGGTAGTCGTGAGTTTTCCTTGTCCATACCAGTAGTATTAGTGTTAGTCTTGTACTTTCTTATTTTTAGATTTCTATTATTATTATTTGTTGTTTCTTATGCTTCGGCTTCTTACTATCTTGTTGTTATTAATGTCTGTTGCTACCGCTTCTTTTTTCATCCTTGAGCCGAGGGTCTATTGGAACTAGCCCTACCTACTCAGGGTAAAGGTAAGGTTTACGTACACACTACCCTCCCCAGACTCCACTTGTGGGATTACACTAGATTTGTTATTGTTGTTGTTGAGCAAGTGTTTTTTCTTTTTCTTTTATTTTGTTTACTTTCAAAGCTACTCTGACTCTTCCTTCTTAATAGGAGTAAGGTCTGCGTATACACTACCCTCCCTAGATCCCACTTGTGAGATTACACTAAGTTTATTGTTGTTGTTGTTGTCGTCAAAGCTAGTCCGAGTAAAAGTTAAAAAGGATGTAATTATCATCTTGCTTTAAGTTCAACAACCTTACAATACACCAAGAAATGGGTATTGACGCAAGTATTGAACGGGCACTTTCATCAAATATTGTAATATTGTGAGTAAACAGAAGCTGCGAAGTACTTTATGTCCTTGCAAACTTTCCACACAAGTGATTGAACAAACTAATCTCATTTAATGATGTAAAAGCAATATAGTATCTTGTTCACATCATCCTCAAGCAAAACGACATTATCATATTTTTTTCACGCAAATGTAGCCCAAAAAGAAGAGACACAATGCCATGGTAGCTTATGCGGATTGAACAGATCAAACTAATAATGACGAGGCAGTAATGGAGCTTTGGTGCATTTTAGCTGATAAGAAGGAAAACAACTGATATGCTTAGTATATTAGTTGTGAGAAAGCACGAGAGATAAATATATCTATTAAGTATTTACAATAGCCAGATTTATAACTATACACAATACATATTCAACTCCTATTCCATGTGGGACTAGGGTTATTAACATAACTATCTATCACTCTCACTCAAGCCGGTGCATACAAATCATACGTACCGAGCTTGTTACATATATAACTAAGGGAAAATTTCACATAAGAACAACTGGGCTACCTACTTTTCAATTTTATAGCCCGTATTTCAATTTAACACCAACTAGCCCAAGAATAATAGGCTAAGATTTAATATCAACTCTAATAGGTTCTCAAAATTACTATTTAATTTTAAAAAAAAAGATTTCTCAAGCTTTTAAGTTAATTTTTGAGTCAGTAACTGTGACTCAAATATTAGTTCAATAAACCAAATCCATTGGGTGGTGAAAATTAGATTTTTAACAAGCTTAAGTATGTGGGTTTAGATTCCAAATTTGATTTTGTGAGAAATTTGGAGTGTGTTATTCAGACTTGTTACAAATAGTCTAAGGAGGTTGTATATAAAATTTGAAGTCATTTAATAGAAATTTGAACTGGTTTTGAACAAGAATTGCAACTGAAAATCGTGGAAGAAGTTCGTCCACAGACGCTTGTATAAAAGTGTATAAAGGTGTATAATAGTGTATAAGATGTGTTTATACACTCATATACACTATTATATAAGATTATACATAATTATACAAAAAACTGACTTCGTCTTCTTTCTTGCGTCTTTTCTGAAATTTAACTCCAATCGTGTTCAAATCTACCCCAAATCACTTCCAACTTAAATTTTGAATTCCTTTTTTGATATTTTCAATCAATTGGAACAACACCCAATCCAAACAACTAACAAACTCAAAAAATCCTATATTCGAAAGCAAAGCTTTGAACGGTCTTCAATGGTGGACTTCTACTCTTCAATTTTCTTACATTGCAACCAAGTGACATAAGAGGAGAAGCAGAAAATATACGGGCCCTTGAAGCATATGTAGAAGATATTAGAAGAAGAGGGAGTGAAAGCAATGATTGTGAGAACACATATGTAACTCCATAGCTTTTAGAAGCAATGGTTGTAAGAACACAAATTTTGAATTTGCTAGTGCTTTCAAAATATGTACAATATGGGCTAGGTCGGGTAAAACTTAAAAACATGGGTCATTTTTTGTTATGGTGTGAAGTCATGTGTATTTTCTTGTAATTCTTTCTATAACCAATACGAGGACTAGTGAGAGACTTGGTGAAAATATCTGCAAGCTGATCATTCGACTTCACAAACTTTGTAGCAATATATCCTGAGAGTATCTTTTCTCTAACGAAGTGACAATCAATCTCAATGTGTTTAGTTCTCTCGTGAAACACCATATTTGATCCAATATGAGGGAAACTTGATTATCACACACAAATTCCATCTTGTTGATCTCACCAAATTTCAACTCCTTGAGCAAATGTTTGATCCAAACCAGCTCACATGTTCCCACAGTCGTTGCTCGATATTCTGCTTCTGCACTAGACCTAGCAACCACATTGTGTTTCTTGCTCTTCCAAGACACCAAACTACCTCCTACTAAAACACAACATCCAAAAGTAGAACGTCTATCAGAAGGTGATCCTGCGCCGTCAGCATTTGAGTACACAACAATTTGCCCATGGCCTCTATGTTCAAACAATAATCTTTTGCCTGGAGCTGATTTTATATATCGAAGAATGCGAACAACTGCATCCCAATAACTATCACAGAGAGAATTCATAAATTGATTCTCCACACTCACAGGAAAGGAATTGTCAAGTCTAGTTATTGTGAGGTAATTGAATTTACCCAGCCGCCTATATCTTGCAGGATTTCTAATGCATATTTTCGTGTGAGATCACAATACCTGAGCTAGATTGAGCGACCTCAATACCTAGAAAATACTTTAATCTGTCCAGATCCTTAGTCAGAAAGTGCTGAAAGAGATGTTGCTTCAACTTAGTAATATCATCTTGATCATTGCCGGTAATAACAATATCATCAACATAAACCACCAGATAAATACATAGATTTAAAGCATAATGCCGATTAAACACAGAGCGATCAACTTCACTACGAGTCATGCCAAACTCCTGAATAACTGGCTAAACCACCAAATCAGACTCGAGGAGACTACTTTAGACCATAGAGGGACCGACGCAACCGACATACAAGATCACTAGACTCCCGCTGAGCAACAAAACCAAGTGGTTGTTCCATATAAACCTCATTCTCAAGGTCACCATGAAGAAAAGCATTCTTAATGTCCAACTGATAGAGAAGCCAATGGCGAACAACAACCATGGATTAAAAAAGGCAGACTGATGTTATTTTAGCCACGTGAAGAAAGTATCACTGCAATCAAACCCAAATTTTTGAGTCAGTGTTTTGGATAGCGTGCGGCAACAAATAGTGACGAGGGCCCGCTTCACTGAGGCGAGAGGCGCGCTTGCCTTTTTGATGTGAAGCGACAATATATATATAACTAAAAACTCAATAACAATAATATATTAATAAATATATCAATTCAAAAATTAAAAACTCAACGGATAGTTATAGTAGATTCATAAACTTAAGTTTAAAAGTCTAAAACAAGCAACATCAATTCTTCTTCAAGATTTTCAAATTCTAGAACTTCAAGAATGTTAGCATTATATTGGCTATTATCTTCTTCATCCCCGGAGTCTTCATCAATTAGGGACCGGCTTGAACTTGCTACTCCCTTTCCCTTGTAATTTAAGCTTGAAGAACTCCCTCGAAGACCATAGATATTCTCCTCAACTCCAGCCGCCATTGAAACAGTACCCCAATCAAGATCATCTCCTACATACACTTGTTCATCTTCATGATTTTGGGGGGCTCCAGTTAACCATTCATTTGCCTTGTCAATGTTATCCAACAAACTTGGATCAATGGTATCGCGAGCTTCATAACGTCGCCTCAATGTTCTATTGTATTTAATATACACTAGATCATTGAGATGCGATAGCTCAAGCCTATTCCTTTTCTTAGAGTGAATCTGCGCATAAATTGTTTAGATTAATTAATAGATACTAATAATAATACAATATAGAATATATTAATATAATAAATATGCTTCTTAGTTCTTACATGCTCAAATATGCTCCAATTTCTCTTGCATCCAGATGCATTACAAGTTACGCTTAGTACTTTGATGGCAAACTTTTTCAAGTTTGGAGTTTGATGTCCAAATTGCATCCACCATTCAACTATAGAAAAATATTTTAAAAGTTAATAAGTATAAATTAAATAAATTAAATTAAAGCTATAAGGATATCTATATTAAAGTTAGTTACCTGGTGACCTCTTGTCTCTGGCTCTAATGGCCGCCTGTAAACCAAATAGGCCATCTGCTTGTGAGTACCTACCAAACTCCTCCCCTATTTGATCTACCATCGCTGAATCGAGGACCAACTTCTCAAGACATTGATGGTATCCAACCCACACCTCTGAATCCAAAGTGTCATATCTAGTGTTCTTGTAAAATAATGCGGGTTCAGAGGATGGCCTGCTGCATGCAAAGGTAGATGGAGTTGATTCGACCACCTGCTATCAATAATCTTAAAAACTTTCTCGTATTTCCTAACATCTCTCTCAAATGACGCTTCAATAGTCTCTTTGGCTCTATTCACAGCTTCATAAAGATAGCCCATTGGTGCTTTTCTCTCCCCATCCACCATATGAAGCACCCTAATCAAAAGACCACCAACTTTAAGAGCCTGAACGTCGTCATTCCAGAATGATGGAGAAATAAGAACTTTGGCAGTTTCTTTCCCCGCAGCTTCCTTTGCATATCTATTATCTTTCCGTTCATTTGAAAGAACTAGCTTTCTCAAGTTTTTCTTTTGCAAGTAAAAACTATGCAAAGTTAAGAAAGTCGTTGCAAATCTAGTCTTGGCCGGTCTCACCAAATTTCTTTCATTTGTGAATTTCCTCATCAAATTCAACAGCAACGGCCTCTGACTGATGTAAGAATATATCTTGACGGCCTTAGTGAAATCTGTAAAAGTAACAATAATAATTTTATAGTTGATACTTAATAGGACATAAGTATAAATAAAGTTAAAGCTTCAAAGATAACTATATTAAGTTACCTGAAGCATATGGGTTTTCCTTGAATATGTCACCAAACATCAAGTTGATACAATAGCAGCACATGGAGTCCAATAAATGTGTGGATACATAGCTTCCATCATCTTACCCGCACTAGCATTCTCACTAGCATTATCGGTAACTTGTACAATATTTTCCTTTCCAATTTTATCAATAGTCTTTCTAAACAAGCTATACATTTTGCTTTCACCATAGAAGAGTTGCTAGCATCGTAAGATTCAAGAAAAACACTCCCTCTTGGAGGGTTCACAAACACATTTATGACCATTTTTCCATTTCGTGTTGTCCATTTATCCATCATAATGGAACATCCAAACTTGTTCCATTCCACTTTATGCTCCTCAATAATTTGGTCTATCATCTTCACCTCTTTTCTAAGATGAGTTACTCTAACTTCATGATAGCTAGGAGGCATCATTCCTGGGTCATATTGTCCTACGACCTCAATGAATTTATCAAAAGTTTTGTAGTTAACACAGTTGAAAGGAAGCCCTGCATCGTACATCCATCTTGCAAAGGCACTTACGGCGCGATCCCTCAAAATCTTCTTGGCTTCTAAACCTGAACCATAATCACCTTTTCCTTTTTCTTGTTGTTTTGCCGAGAAATAAAGATTGAGAGGACCTTTTGTCACCGTACGTGCCGTGGATGACCCACTAGAACTATTTGAAGATATCTTTTGAGTTTTGGGGCACCGATGTTTCATAATTCATTTGTGTTCTTGTCACATTTTTCTTCTCAACGAATGCTTTTACTTCCTCCCTGACCTCGGACGGACAAAGAGGACATTGTACTACATTTTTAAATCCACCTATCAAATGTTGCTTGTGACAAGTTATTCTACCATGATATGTTTTTTCACAAAACACACATTTAATTGCGGATCTTGACGAGCCTTGTATAGCATAATTCCAAGCTATCATTTCGTTTATTACTATCGAATGACGCCATTTCAATGTTGTTTTATAGAAAAAAATTATCAAGTCAATATGCAATTAATTTTACTCTATAAGACTATAAGAATATAATTGAAAAAACAGAGCGAACAAAACAAAGCCTAAAAAGAAAGAGCTACTGCTTCTGCTGCTGGTCGAAAAACAGAGCCAAAAAGAATAAGAGAAGAAGAAAGAGGAAGGGAAGAAAGAAAGAGCTACTGCCTCTGCTGCTAGTCGAAAACAGAGCAAAAAAAAAGACAAGAAGAAAAATGAAGAAAGAGCCGATCACTGAAGAAGAAAAAGAAAAAAGAAGAAGATAACAGTGGTGAAGTCGAACTGTCGAAGAAAAAAAAGACAACTGAAATAGACAGCAGTGGTGAAGTCGAACTGTCGAAGAAAAAAAAGACAACTGAAATAGACAGCAGTGGTGAAGTCGAACTGTCGAAGAAAAAAAAGACAACTGAAATAGACAGCAGTGGTGAAGTCGAACTGTCGAAGAAAAAAAAGACAACTGAAATAGACAGCAGTGGTGAAGTCGAACTGTCGAAAAAAAAGACAGCTGAAATAGAAGAAGAAGAAGAAGAAAGGAGAAGAAGAAGAAAAGAAAAGAAAGTAACATGCCTGGGTTACTGTGCTGATGGCTGACGATAGAAGAAGAAGAAGAAATGAAGCCCTAATTTCTCTGCTGCTGAGAAATGGTCGTTGCTCGGTCTCTGAAGGAGAAGAAGTGAAATCCAAGCCCTAATTTTGTATTTTAATCTAAATCGCTGCCTTTTCTTCCTTTTTTTTCCAAATAGTGTCGCTTCACACCTTCTCTCGCTACACAGGCAAAGGCGCGCACCATTTCTGAATCGCAACACGACACAGCAAAAAAGCGCTAATGCCTCGCGTCGCTTTACTACACGCTATTAGCGACGTCGCGCTCGCTACTTAAAACACTGATCTAGGTATACCTTTTGGCAACAAGACGAGCTTTAAGTCGATCAACCTGTCCATCTGGACCAACTTTGACTGCACACACCCAACAACTAATGGTAGATTTACGTGACGGAGGAGGAACAAGCTCCCAAGTACTACTCGTATATAAAGCAGACATCTCGCCAATCATAGTTTGTCGCCATCCTCGATGAAACAGTGTTTCACCTGTAACTTTAAGGATGGAAACAGGGAACAAAGATGACACAAACGCATAACGAGGTGATGACAGACGATGGCAACGTAAACCGACATAATGGGGATTAAGATTAAGTGTGAACCGTATACCTTTCTGAAGTGCAATCGGTTGACTAGAAGGAGACAAGTACACAGTAGGAGCAAGGTCAGGTGCAGGACGTGAACTAGCTGGGCCTGATGCAGGGCGCGGACGACAATGATAAGTCAGGAGCGGTGGAGTCGTAGAAGGTTGAACTGGACTAGGTGATCGAACTGGCGCTATAGGTGGAGGAGCTGGAATTGGAGTTGTAGGTGGTGAGTGGGAGTTGTAGACGAAGATCAATGGGAGATAGTGACTGAATCTCCCAAAGATGGAACTGGTGGCACCTCAGAAATATCTAAGTGATTACCTGGACCTATGAAATATGATTGGGTTTCAAAGAAGGTAACATCAGCAGACATTAGGTACCGCTGAGGTCAGGTTTATAGCATCGATATCCTTTTGCGTCCTCGAGTAACCCAGAAATACACAATTAAAAGCACGAGGAGCTAACTTATCTTTTTCTATAGTAAGGTTATGAACAAAACACGTTCTTCCAAAGAAACAGGGTTGAAGAGAGAACTAGGGAAACAAGACAGAGAATGAAACTTGATTCTGGATAGCTGGGGATGACATACGATTAATAAGATAACAAGATGTAAGAACTGCAGCCTACAAAAACGCAATGGAATATGAGATTGTATGAGTAGGGTCAAGCAGTTTCTATGTTCTTTTTTACAGCTACCCCATTTTGTTGAGATGTGTATGGATAATATGTTTGATGAAAAATCCCACGAAAGTTCATAAACTATTGAAATAGGGAAGACAAATACTCTAGGGCATTATCACAACGAAATATGCAGATAGAAACCCCAAATTAATTTTGAATTTCAATGTGGAAGGGCTGGAAAAGAAAATAATTCGAATCGATTTTTCACCAAAATATCCAAGTGCACCTCGAATAATCATCAATGAAACTGACAAAGTAGCGAAATCCCAAGGTAGAATTGGCCCGATAGGAACCCAAACATTTGAATCAACTAAAGTGAAAGGTGACTATGCTCGATTATCAGGACGCCGAAGGAAATGGGAGTGAGTATGCTTACCGAGCTGACATGACTCACACTCTAGAGTGGACAAGTGAGATAAACCAGGAACAGGCAACCACCCCATTTACAGGTTTTGTTTCCCGTATTTACCAACCATCAATAATCAGACCATTTATACATGCCCAAAGGTTCAAAAAGGGTCCTGTGTGACTTTTTACAGAAAATAGGAGACACCACTTTCTCCACTTTCTCCATAAATAGTAGACTCCACTTTCTACTAGTTGGTTCTCATGGCCTTTATTTTCATTTTCTTTTCACGGGGAGAGGGGCATGCTAATAAATCATGAATGCTACCTTTATTAACAGACACGTCAGTATGCCTCCTATTACAAGCCTTGTTTTCAACTTCATTTGCCCTGATTGCGTGCTTTGCACTATCTTTGATAGTTGACTGCGAGCTAGAAGATGCAACCCCCCCTAAGATACTCTTCAAATTACCATCAAGGAGATCAATTTGACTACCCTTACCTGAAAGGAGATGGCAATGTTATTCCATCAGATATTGAACATTCATATTCACAACAGAACAACAGGAAGCTGCAAGTCTTTAAAACCTATAAGATGCTGGAAATATTGCTAGGTCTAAACAAAATATTTCAGTCACAAATAAATCTTAATATCTCCACTCGCGTAAAGCATCCTTTCATAGGTGCAAATGTAGGTTCTTGAAAACCAGCTGTAACGAAACTCCAACTTGATTGGTGTGCATAGTTTTCCTAGTTTATAAATTTCTGTGGTTCGGAACACCATGTCCTCCTGCTTAGTTTTATATTGTCTTTAAGAAGATCATGTTTCCTCATCAGAAATAAAATTCCATGTGATTCTTCCTTGCCCCACAAAAAGAAAATCATTGATTGTCAAGAAAACTAGCAATTGTGATACTGAGTGTATATCTTCCTTACGTTTCACAAGGGCATTGTAAGCAACCTTTGCAGCATTCATCTCTGCTTGCTTCTTGGTTTTAGCTTCTTGGCCTTCAAATGTCCCACCTCCAACTTCCACCGTTGAGCTGAATGTTGGTGCATGAGGTGGGCCAGCTCTGGCTGTATCATAAACTGGAAAAAGTAAACCCTCTTTTTGAGCCAGTTCTTGCAAAAGTGTCTTGTATAAACCTTCATCCTGATGTATTCAAAAAATAAATATATAAATACATAGAAGAACTAAGAAATGTAGTGCACGAATGATCTCCCAGCACAAAGTAAAACAAAGACTGTTTAAATTAGAGGTGTTAATTGGGCCGGGCTGACCCGCTACAACCCGGTTCAACCCGGGTCAGCCCGGTCCAGCCCGTTACTGTGCATATGTGTGCGGGTTGGGACGGGTTGGACAGGGGGCGGGCTAGTAACGTTAAGTTTCCGCCAAACGGGTACCCGAACCCGCCACAACCCGTTAATCCCTTAACGGATTCTTAACGGGCCGCAGCCCGCGACAGCCCGCAAAACCGCCTAATTTTTTTATTTTGTATTTTAAATTAAATCTGACCGTTAAAAGAAAAATATAAGATAGTTAAAAATAATAATAATAAAAAAAATGAAAGCCCGACCCGCCCGAACCCGCTAGGCCCGAACCCGTACGGGCCCTATAGAACCCGAAAAATCCCAACCCGCCACCAGCCCGTTAACTTCATCCCGCTAACAACCCGCCCGTAACCCTAACGGGCTGACCATTTTTGTGTCCAGCCCGTCCCAACCCGCCTGATAAACACCTATAGTTTAAATACCCCCCCCCCC